AAAAAAAATAGTTTCAGCCCAGGCACAACACCAGCACCTCGGGGCCCACCAGGAGACCTGAGGCATGGATCCAGGGCCCAGCCCCCCCCCCCCCGCACAACCAGGCACACCACCAGCACCAAGGAGCATGCCAAAAACATCACCCCCATGTGTGTGGCCCACCACAAGCACCACAATAACCACAGCTGCCATGAATGTGGCTAGATGTCACAACCACCACACAGATGGTCCACCAGCCACTGGAGTGCATTGACACAAGGAGAGCCACCAGCGGAGACCAAACAAAAGAAGAAGATGTCTCTCTCCACAAAGCCCATTACAGGATGACAGAAGAAGCAGCTGCTCTATGATAATATTGGGGGACCTAAACACATCTCTCAGCATTGGACAGATCATCTAGGCAACAAATCAACAGAGTAACCATTTACTCTTTCAGAGGGAGAGAAGAAATCTGTGGTTATCAGTGGTGGGAGGGGAGAGAGAGAGGGAGATAGGGAGAGATTGGACAAGGGGCATAAAGAATAAATACAATTTGTAACAGTATACATACTAGTAATATTGGTTTGATCCACGTATGTCAACATTGAATCCCAAAAATATGGATAATCAATTACGATTCAATTAAAAATAAACAAACAAATAAAAAGTTATTTTTAAATATATGAAAATCTGTAGGATGTGGATAAGTTTCTAGACACATACAAACGACCCAGGCTGAACCAAGAAGAGACAGAAAACCTGAACAGACCAATAACAAGCAACGAGATTGAAGTAACTGCAATCTTCCAACAATGAAAAGCCCAGGTCTAGATGGCTTTACACTTGAATTCTATCAAACTTTTAAAGAGGAATTAATACCAATTCTCCTCAAACAATTCCAAAAAATTACAACAGAAGCCATTCTCCCAAACTGATTCTATGAGGCCAACATAACTCTGATATCAAAACCAGATAAAGACACAACAGAAAAAGAAAATTACAGGCCAATACCCTTGATGGACACAGATGCAAAAATCCTCAAAATATTAGCAATGAGAATACAGCACCACATGAAAAAAATTACACACCGTGAAGTGGGATTCATCCCAGGGATACAAGGATGGTTCAACATATGAAAGTTAATATATGTGATACAATAAATGTAACGGGCATGCGGCCAGTATGAATCTGGCCATCACAGCTTGAGAATGAACGGTGACAATCAGCTTTGTATCCCATGAATATTCATAACCAATAAAATTTTTTTTAAAAAGGAATAAATGGGTACAGGAGATCTTATTGGTGTGGTAAAAATGTTCTAAAACTGATTTGTGATGATGGCTGCACAACTTGGTAAACTTACTAGAACTCATTGAATTGCATACCTGAAATGGGTGGATTACATGGTATATAAAATATTCCTCAAGAAAGTGTTTTTTAAACAAAGAGCATATCACTGACATTCAGCAGATACTGAAACACACACTCTTCTGCCAGTAAATAGCTAAACAACCCTGGACAGGTAGTGCACTTACTGCAGACCTTTGTTTCGTTACCTATAAAGAAAGCGTTGGGCCAGGTGAAGCCCAGAGTGTCTCGTGCCTCTTCCCATTGCCACATTCTATGGCTATTTTGGCAAAGTTAGTCCAAAGAAAACACTTTTGTTCCTTGGCAGATATCTAAGGAAGGATGCTCTTCCGAAAGAAATTAAAATCACAGGGCCAGCCCGGTGGCGCACTGCTACAGTGCGCCGCTTGGGAGCGTGGCGGCGCTCCTGCCGAGGGTTCGGATCCCACATACAGACCAGTTCCCGTTCACTGGCTGAGTGAGGTGCGGGTGCGACGCCGAGGGTTGCGATCCTGTTGCCGGTCCTGGTCCGGTACGGGCGTGACACTGAGGGTTGCGATCCGTTGCCGGACACGAAAAAAAGACAAAAAGGGGAAAAAAAAAAGAAATTAAAATCACAAAATTTCCTTTAAAAAATTGCCAAAAGAAAAGTTGATCTCCTAGAAGTAGAGAGCAGAATAGTGGTTACTAGAGGCTGGGAAGGGGAGGGGGGAAAGGGGAAAGGCAGAGGTTCCAGATACAAAGTTACAGCTCAATAGGAGGAAAAATTTCTAGTGATCTATAGTTTTGAAAGGTGACTATTGTTAGCACCAATTTATTATATAATTTCAAATAGCTAAAAGAGAGGATTTTGAGTTTTCCCAATACAAAGAAATGACAGTATTTGGGTGATGAGTTTGCTACTTACCCACACTTGATCATCACACATTATAAACATGAATTTCAAGTTCAGCGATGGCCTGGCCGAAACTAAAAGGATACCGTCCCTAGAAGATGAATCGAAATCCATCAAGTCACAAGTAGCTGAAGCCAAACTAATCTCCAAAATCTTTCAGATGAGTGAAGAACGTCTGAAGGCGGCACTAAAAGATGCCTTGAATGAAAATTCCCAACTTCAGGAAAGCCACCAACAGCTTTTACAAGAAGCTGAAGTATTGAAAGAACAAGTGAGTGAACTTCATAAACAGAAAATAACATTTGAAGACTCCAAAGTCCACGCCGAACAAGTTCTGAGTGATAAAGACAATCACATCCAGTCTCTGACTGAACGCTTGCTCAAGATGAAAGACTGGGCTGCTGTGCTTGGAGAAGACGCGATGGCTGATGACTTGGAATCGGAGATGAAGAGTGAATCCCAAAATGCTGCTCGCTTAGATGATCCACCAGAAGGAGCTTTGAAGAAACTGATTCACGCTGCTAAGTTAAATGCTTCTTTAAAAACCCTAGAAGGAGAAAGAAACCAAATTTACACTCAGTTGTCTGAAGTAGATAAGACAAAGGAAGAGCTTACACAGCGTATGACAAATCTCCAGACTGAACAAGCATCTTTACAGTCAGAAAACACACAGTTGGAAAGTGAAAATGAGAAGCTTCGGCAGCAACTTCAAGTAATGACTGAACTGTCTCAAGAAAATGGAATGAAACTCCACAGGAAGTTAATAGTAGAGGAAAAGGACCGGTTAGAGAAGGACGAGAAACTTTCCAAAGTGGAAGAGAAGATGAGCCATGCAGCTGAAGAACTGGAGCCCTACAGAAGGCGAGCCAGAGATGTGGAAGGAGAATTGGAGAGAAGCGTTCGTTTTTATCAAGGGCGGATGACTTCGTATGAGAAAAAAGCACATGAGAATTGGTTGGCAGCTGAGACTGCTGAGAGACACCTCAGTTATTTAAGGAAAGTAAGTGTTTACCAGAGACAACAATTAGCTGAAAAAGAGCTTACATTTGAACTTTTCAAAAAAGATCCTTATGCACTTGATGTTCCACATACAGCATTCGGCGGAGAGCAGTCCCCATATGGTGCCTCACCCGTGGGTCGACCTTCATCCGAAACGAGAGCTTTTCTGTCTGCACTCAGCCTCGCACCTTTGACTCCAGGGCGAGGAGGAGGAAGCGGCTCAAGAGGCCCAGAGAATACTCTGGACCATCAGATGACCAATGAAAGAGGAGAATCGGGCTGTGATAGGTTAACCGATTCTCATGGAGCACCTTCTGGGTTCCTGTCACCTCCGTGGGAGCAGCACCGGAGGATGATGATCCCTCCACCGGGCCAACCATGTTCTGATCCAGCTCTTCTCCCACGAAGGCAAGACGGATTTGATTCTAATCCTGGTGGACCGTCTGGACCAGCAGAATTCAGAAGTTGTCATATGCCTTCTTTGGATAAAGTGGATGCGCCAAAGTCTTCACAAACGGAATCCAGTAGAAATGATACCGAAGACGACCTTGGTAACGGAAATGTGCCTAATTCATGTGTGCCTGCTGAAAGTGAAGCAACTGGCCCTGGCTTTGCTCCTCCACCTTTTCCTGCAGTCAGAGGTCCATTGTTTCCAGTGGCTATGAGGGGTCCTTTCATGAGAAGAGAACCTCCTTTTCCTCCACCTCCTCCGGGAAGCATGTCTGGAGCTCCTCGAAATTATTTTCTTCCAGGTGTTTTCCCTGTCC